CAGCATGGTTCCGTTATATCTGTGCAGTCTGAGAGCCCGAGCTTAAGCCCGCATAAACTATAAACCTTGCTTTTGCATTTTTGGTGTGTTGGGTCCTTGGTGGTCTTCTTGGGGTCCTGTGAATGAGGTATAACAAGACAAGCTTTTTGGTTGTGAGCAGACTCCAGCCAGACTCTTTGCCAAAATATCCCAAGTGCTGCTTAAGTCCTTATTTCCCTCTGGAACTACATTGTTCTTGTACTACTTTCTTCCAGGCATTTACTAGAATGGCCTGTTAAGCTCTGCTTACAGCAATCAACCATTTTTCTAGCCCAAACTTCCAAAGTCTTCCACATTTTTCCAAAACCCCACATGGTCAGGCTCTTCATAGCCAACAGCCCACTCTCTGGTACCAATTACTGTCCTAGCTTGTTTTTTCATTGCTGTGACAAAACACTTTGACCAATACCAACTTGGGGAGGAAAGGATTTATTTAGCTTACATATCCTGGGTCACAGTTCATCCAGGAGCCCAAGGTAGGAACTCAGGGCAGGAACCTGGAGGCAGGAGCTGGAGCACAGGCCATGGAGGAATGCTGCTCACTGACTTGCTCCCCAGGCCCTTGCTCAGCCTGCTTTCTTACAAAACCACCCACAGTGGGTTGGGCCCTCCCACATCACTCTACAATCAAGATGCCCCATGGACATGGCCACAGGCCAGTCCAATGAAGGCAATTCCACAATTTAGGGTCCCTCAACCTAGATGAGTCAAGTTGACACTAAAGCTCTCCAGCACACACTTCAAATAAGAATCTTCTCTTCTGACTAAGCATAATGGGAAAATACAATCTAAGTCTTCCAGCTGGGCCTGTTCTGCACTACTGCCTAGTGATAACTGGGTTTCACTGACAGTTTCAGTTCTCAGAGCTTCAGGAACTGAAGACAGTCTTGAAACAGCACTTTCATCTGTATCATTTACCCTTCAAATGAAACTCCCTGTATTTTCCAGGATAACTGCATATTAATGAGAATTCAATTTGTATTTTCTCTCTCATTATAAATACAGTCCTCACATTTTAATCAAATGGGTGTTTAGGAAAGGCACTGTGACCAGGTGTTATATATTGGCAATTTTCTAAGGCTCTAACATCCTGACTTAATATACTGAACAGTGAATCTGATTTAAGATATGTCAGTGACATGGTCAGAGTGGTGAATTCATAAAACATTAGTGGACGCTCCAAAGCATTCAAGAGAAACTGCAATAATAACTAGCCAAAAACCTAGACAAATAAATACAGAGAAGGAATAGTGGCCTGATGCCTGTGCAGCTAGGTGTGAACAGGAAGAAAGAACAACTATACAAAGTGAGGAATTGAAACAATCAGAATTGAAATGTATTGCCCAATAGGAATCATTTTCATGATATCCCTTAAAAATGAAAACTAAAGGAAAAAATTGAATTTTTTTTCACTTATGAAGAGAGGTTACTGAGCATGTCTTTAAAGAATGTTGACATTACTATGTTCTCTACAGAGTAGTTTATATTTCCAAGTTCAATCTAAAGCACTGTTATGCTACATGAAGTCATTTAAAATCTCTGACATTGTCAAGGAACAACATAATTTTCTAATGAAAATATGTACTAATTCTCACAAATATAGTATGTAAGTAAACCACATAAGACTTATATAGGGAGAGTCAGAAACATTGAGATTTGTGAACTTTTAGTTATTACATAGAATTAAACTCAGGACTGCTAATCCTACACATCCAACACTAACTGAAGTCGGAGCCTGAGATGTAGAACATTTGAGACAGTGTCCCACATATATCAGAGCAAGTAAGTTCCTTTTCATTATTTCTACTGTTTTGTTGGCTAATAAGTCATGAGCCTTTAGTAATAATTATAAAGTTAACTCCCAGAATCGCATGTGTTGAATATTTGGGCTGTGGAAATCAGGATTCAGAAAAAGGACTCATGGGAAGGCAATTGGATAATGAGGGATGTAACCATGACTTCATAGCTGTTCCTCCATTCAGCTATGATTGGAGGAAGTAGGTCACTGATGTACAATATTTAAGCACATTTTGTCTCTGCCCTTGGAAAGACCTCAGTCTCTATCCAGATCTTTATTCCTCCCTCTCTTCTTTCAGAATGAGAACTAACCTTTTCTTTCTCCATAAGCTACATCAAGTGAAACAAATATATAGGCATCAAAAACTTAGGAACAGTGAGAAAAAATCCTCCTCACTTTACTTGATTATTCAGGTCTTTTGTCACAGCAGAGGAATTCCACTCACACATTAACCTTTGTGCATTTATGTCTGTGGTCATTTGTTTCCTTATATCTTAGAAGGTACACATACATGCAAGCAAGCACTCCATTATGTTGTCTTAGTTCTAAACTTTACCCAAAGTCTCACATGTTTACACCTTTCTTTCAAGGTGTAAGGAAAAGACAAATCCATGTATTCAGGTGTCCTGTGAAGGGGTGGGGGGTAGATGCAAAGAAAAATAATGACTGATACATCAATACTCATGTTAGGATTACAGTGACAGTGCCAGATAATTTTCATTATATGTATCTTAATGTCTCTTATACAATATGTAATATCTAATAAATAGATCATGCAAATTATCTGAGGGTAAGTCCCTAAGGAACAGATCCCTGGGGGGGAAAAAAAACCAATCCTCTGATTTATTCAAATTTGAAAGATTATCCTGGCATTAGCCTTCTTCAATCATCAGCTGAAAGAAGATGTGAGAGTTTCTATTTGGAGGGAAGATCATATTTTTTCATACAATTTCCACATTACATCATTAAGCATATGCTTTATTTATTAAAATAAAATCAACTTATATGAAGCTTTAAAATTGTTTTAAAATGCATTCAATGCATTTTAAACAAAATGCAGATTAAAGGAACTAAAGAAACAGGGTTTCTTTAAATTAACAGACAGCTTGGATGTCATTATACACCATTTCCAAAAAGCAACACTAAAATTTTAATATATTCATGGATGAACACATAAATATGTTAATAACGTTTTCTCTTTTCTGTCTTTATTTAGTTTTTATACTTAGATTGGATTAACAACATCCAACAATGCCCTACTACAATATTTATTAGTAATTCAATGGACTTGCTATCTATTCACCTCCTTAGTGAATATCTCAAAATATAGTTTATTTCAGATATTGAAGATTGGCTTTTTGGAGAAATGAAACCCAGCCTTCCTACTTTACATTGAAGCACATTCTTAGTGCTACACAATAAAGGAAGGAAATCAATTTTTTATATCATTCATGAACTGTGCATGGGGCATTAATAATGCATAGTATAACTAATATTAATGAGGTCTTGAAAATGTACTATAGACTCATCAGCTCTCATGGAACAACTATTAAAACAAATTATCACATAATCCTTTAAAAGCAAGACAGATTGATTTTATTTCCATAGTAAACTAACAAATAGTGTACAATCTTCAAAATGCTAAAATACTGGGAATTCAACTAAGTTTCCTACAGATATGATTCTATCCACACATATACATACACATATATAACATACGATTTTGTATAAATTTAATGATTTATAATAATATTTTACATAACAGCTCTTATTTCTTTTTCACCATAATACTCTAGCTTGGTACACAATGTATTCAATCTTTATCATTATCTTCCATTTTCAAAGACCCAGGCTAAAATGTAATAGGATAGTACAACGTTAAAATCACAAATCCTCTAAGATTAGGTTTAACTTTTAAAACTCTGATGTCTATTGTTTTCAGCACATCAAGTAATACTGTAAACATCTAACCAGTCTTTTGATTGTGTTACTCAGCACTAAATCAATGTACTTGATAGATTATTCTTCTCCTGGGTCACTGGGAATGATTGCTTTCTCAGGATTCTCCTTTACTTTTACTAGAATAGAACTATGCCAAACAAACATACATCACACTAAAATGCATTCTTATTCATCAAAAAGAAAATATATCTGTGTCCATGAATTATTCATGAAACAACTGGTACTAATGAAGCATTGCTAATGGACAATGTATTCCTTCAACTCTGAGTCAACAGTTGCTATAAATTATAAGATCCTTTAGAAGTCAGAAAATATGTATTTAGGTGAGGGTCAAACTACCCTATAGCATTTTGCTCTTCAAAACTCCAATTTTGGGAATGCAAATGTTTCTAAATAAAAAAAATTATGTCTATTAAAATATATCACTCTATGGAAATATAGAAATAATTGATGTGGTTTTAAATTTTTTTCTATAATACTCTAGCTTGGCATACTATCAAGACTGTACAGTGTCCTGGATTTTTTTTTATTATGGATTTTCCAGAGTTTAAGAGGTTTGATATTTGGATATGTACTGTACCCATGCTGTTATATAAATTAGGAGGCTTTATACATTTTAAAGGATTTTAGGTTTCCTGTTCACTATGAAATTTCTAATGTTTCCTAAGTCAGGAGCCATTTGTAAATAGTGGCTGATATATATATATAAAATCTGTAGGTTTTCTCTACAATAAGAATTCTGTGTTATTCAACAAGATTGGATGGCAAAGTAAAGGCTTTCTCACATTTTTTATGTTTCTAGTTTCTCCCAATTATGAATTGCTTTTTATTCAACTAGAAATAAATTTTTATTAGAGATTTTGGAATTTTGCATTTAATTCTAAGTTTTCTTTCAACATACTATGAAGTTTTGTAATATATAAATATAAATGCTTCAACATTTTCCATACTTTTAAAGATATCCGTCTAGTATGGATTCTGTTTTGTTTCCAAAGGATTGCTCACAGAGTAAAGGATTTGCCACATTCTGTGCAATTATACACTGTCTCAGCAGTATGAATTTTTGATAACTTCTACCATTTGATATACAGTTAAAGGAATTTCCAAATTACTTATATTTATTTGTAGTCTCTCCTTTATTATGAATTCCGTCATGTTCTCAAAGAGTTGCAATACAAGTAAAGGACTTCTCACGCCTTTTTCATTTGTAAGGTTTCTTTCTAGTATGTATTTGCTGATGTACTCTAAGATATGACATTTGACTAAAAGACTTGTCACATTCTTCACATTTGTAGGGTTTCCCCCCAATATGCATTTGCTGATGAAATTGAAAATTAGAAATCCAAGTAAAGGACTTGTTACATTCTTTACATATGTAGGGTTTCTCTCCAGTATGAACTCTGTAATGTTTCCTAAGTGTTGAGCTCTCAGTAAAGGTCTTGTCACAGTCTTCACATTTGTAGGGTTTCTCTCCAGTATGAATTCTCTGATGTGATCGAAAATTTGACATGAAAGCAAAGGACTTGTCACACTCTTCACATTTGTACAGTTTCTCTCCAGTATGCACTACCTGGTGTCTTCTAAGACTTGACATTTGAGTAAAGGACTTGACACATTTTTTACATTTGTAGGGTTTCTCTCCAGTATCAATGCTTTCATGCCTTCTAAGATTTGAGGCCTGAGTAAAGTATTTGTCACATTCTTGACATTTATATGGTTTCTCTCCAGTATGTCTTTGCTGATGTAATTGAAAACTTGCTATCCAAGTAAAGGACTTGTTACATTCTTTACATATGTAGGGTTTCTCTCCAGTATGAATTCTATAATGTTTCCTAAGTGTTGAGCTCTCAGTAAATGTCTTGTCACAATCTTCACATTTGTAGGGTTTCTCTCCAGTATGAATTCTCTGATGTGATCGAAAATTTGACATGAAAGCAAAGGACTTGTCACACTCTTCACATTTGTACAGTTTCTCTCCAGTATGCACTACCTGATGTCTTCTAAGAGTTGACATTCGAGCAAAGGACTTGACACATTCCTCACATTTGTAGGGTTTCTCTGCATTATACATTGTCTGATGTTTTTTAAGACTTGGGTTCTCCAGGCCAAAAAAAAAAAAAAACAAGAAGACAACATTTCAATATGGATAATAAGGCTGAGACAATCACATATTCAGAAATACAAAAAGAACATGTGATAAGCATAAATAAAAATTCCAACAACATTGAGAAACATTCAAGGGAACAAAAATAAAAATCTATGGATTAAAAGAAGCAGCTGAAATCAAAACAACAGTGGGAAAATTTATTTAATAAAAATAGAGTAGAAAATACATGAAAAAATAGAGAAATAGAGGGATATACAATCACAAGAGAGGCCAAATACATGTTAACAAAGCTCTGCATTCCAAGCTACAGGCAACATGAGAAAAATAGCAAGCAAAAATCAATACTTAATCAATCCTGTTAGGGAAAAATACCAACTCATCACAAAAGCAGAAAATACGCAATAATATCTCATCTCTTGTCAATGAAGACCAAAACTGCATGAAATAATGTAAAAATACATGCCAAGTAGTGAAAGCAAATATATTAACTAAAATTAATGCAGAAAATATAACTCTTAAAATTGATGGAGGAAGCTGGGCGTAATGGCACATACCTTTGATCCCAGTCCTCAGGAGGCAGAGGCAGGCAGATCTCTGTGAGTTGAAGGCCAGCCTGGTATTATACATAGCCAGTTCCAGGTCAGCTGGGGCTACAGAGAGACCTTGTCTCAAAAAGAGAAAAAAAAATGATGGTGGAAGAAGGGCATGTGAAGAAAAGCACCCATTCAGGGCAAGCAAACCATCACTTGAGAATGTATGGAAGCAAACAGGACACATAGAGGAGAAAGACACTCACATTCATGGAACAGAAGTCAGAATACAATTGTAAAGAGTAACTGATGAACACACCATGTCCCAGAAGGAATCCACCATTAACAACACAGAAAACAAAGAAAGGCCAATATTAATACTAATAAAGAAGGAACTACTATCTAGGACTTTAAGGGAGACTGGTTCCATTCCCCCCTTGCTGGACTTATTGGCAGATATGTCATGGCTCTAGCATCTCCACCATCACAGGGTTCCACATGGACACAAGACATATTTTTCACAGCTTCACACAATGGCCTTTCAGGGAATCTTGTTCTGACAGGAACTTCTTTACACAGGGCCTGTCCTGCTACATGCTGCCATGGTTCAGCAGCTCTGACTGCAGAGGAAGAATCAACGACCTCCTCACTCTATTGTCTTTTAAAACTCCAAAACCAGCATCTGCAGTCATTTGTTTTTATCACCATTTTCACTGGCTTAAGAAGAAACCTCAAAGTACTTTTATTCTGCATTTCCCTGATGGTGAGGATTCTGAACATTTTTAAAGAATTTCTAACATGAGCACTGTGTTTGCAGTATTTCCATCCCTTCCAGCCCACTAGCAACTCCTCCCATGTCCCCCTGGTTAAGTACTGGGACTTAGAAGATTAAGTAGGGATGGGGGAAAGGGGATAATGGGGAAAATGGGGTTTAGGATTAGTTAACCAAAGCTAAGGATTATGGAAAATCCTATTTTATAAGTAAACTTGAAAATATGTAGATTTTGAAGGAGTATGAACATAGGTACACTGCATATGTGGACAATGAACATCCCAGAACACATACATCATGAGAAGGAAATGGCAGTGCTGGGCATGCATACAGCACACCTCCAAATGACACAGTCTATTGCCATTGTTTTCAGTTGCCCACCATAACTAGATGTTAAGACCCTATTGCAGAAAGGACAGTGGTTGTAAGACAAAGAGATCAAGCTGGAACACACATAAAAACTTCCTCCCTGATGACTAGATTTCATAGTGAGAGAAAATGCTATGCAGGACACTGGGGGTAAGAGTCATCAAAAGTCTCTCTTCTGTGAATGCTGCATGCCATAACACTGACCAAATAGGCAAGATGTGCCCCCACACCCAGGTGCAACAGGTCCACAAACATTATTTGGGTAACCAGTGTTTTTGCATTGGAATGGAGGCCTACTCCACACAAGGAATTCAGATTTGGTGCTACAAACCTGGTGAAAAGCTCATGGTTCCAGTGGTCATATTCCCTGGGGGTGAACCTACCACTATTGCTTTGCTGAACAACATATTGTCATTATGATTTCTAAGTATTGATTCTTATACCCATAGATAACTGCTGTCCTCCACTTCAGCCCAAGAAGCATCTCTCTGCAGTGGGTGGCTGTCAATACAGAGGTACATGACTGGTCAAAGTGATGAGAATAAGGGACTACCGTGTGCTCAGCCCTAAATGCACATCCATGTCAACTGCGCACACAAAGCTCAGGGAACATGTTCAAGGAGGAGCCAGAAAGAATGTCAGAACATTAATGACAGGGAAAAGTTCTGTGAAGAGCTCATTTCTGGACATGACATGGTCATTGCACTCATGAACGATGCAGCTATGATTTTTTCCACAGTATCAAGTCAAGAAGATTAGTCAACATTTCAAGACTCATACTTGACCAGTCAAAACAAAGAATTCAAAAAGGGAACAAGAACAACAATAAAAACAGTAGAGGACATGACCCTAGAGGCGACATGCTACAAGCACACGGGTACCTGACAGGGGGCAATTGGTTTTGCATACGAAGCAGATGCAATGTTGATGTGTATGCAAATATAAGTTTAAGGAAATTCTACTTATAAAAAAATTAATTTATAAAAAGTAAAATTATTTGTATTATGTGAAGTACATGAATTTCCTAGATAAGACAAGTATTATGGATTTTCTCTGACAAAATTGATCCTAGGTTTAATTCTCATATGTGGGACCAGGCATAGTTCAAACACAAGAAACTTGAAATCAGATGTGAAAATTACATCCCCAGAGGGTAGAAAGAAGAAAGAGTAATGGGGAAAAAGCCATGTGAGATGAAAGCATATTGTGTATCAGGAGGATAAAAGTGACTGTGAGGGAGGACGAGGAAGGGGGAGGGCAGTGAGAGAGGGGGATCAGAAACAGGAAGTGTGTAGGAACATGCCATATGGAAACTCTTGAGTTTTAAAGGTATTTTAAAAGTGAATATATTGGAATCTTACCATCAAGTCCTGGTGGATAACGAGAACAGGGACCATGACCAGTACTGTTGGGGGAGCTATGGGACTCCAAGTCTAGAGCTTCAAAAACTAGACTGCATTCTTGGCATTGGGCTTTCTCTATGCTAAGATATGGTTTCTAGTAGGGGCAATGTGCACCTGTTATAAGGCATCTCCTTTCAATATGTGATTAAAATGTATGTGAATGTACTTTAAGAAGTTTCTGTGCTGGGTGTGGTGATGCACGCCTTTAATCCCTGCTCTTGGGAGGCAGAGGCAGGCAGATCTCTGTGAGTTCAAGGCCAACCTGGTCTACATAGTGAGTTCCAGGACAGCTGGGGCTACAGGGAGACCTGGTCTCAAAAAAAAAAAAAAAAGTTTCTAAAGTGGTAGGATTCCACAGAGTTTGAGAAATCCTTTAGTGTTAGTTAGCCCTAAGAATACGCCCTTCTCTGCCCTGCCCTCCCATTCCACATCCCAACTGAACCCCTCCTATGCTATTAGTCCCCTTTCCCCTTGTATAGCATTGCATCTTGTCCTCCTTCCCATGAACCTGTACCCCTCCATGGCTGTTTATTAGTCTCTCTCAATTGAAACATACATATCTAAGAATTCAAAGCTATCATTCAGCTATAAAGGAGAAAATGCAACATTTTTCTTTCTCGGTCTGGGATACCTCACTCAGGAAGATTGTCCCCCCTTCTACCCAGCTGCCTGTGAATTTCATAATTTTATTTTTTGAAATGGCTGATTGTGTAAATGTCTCAAACTTTCATTATATATTCAACAGTGGATGAAAATCTGGGTTGTTTCCATTTCCTGGTTACTGTGTAAAGGGCAGCAATGAGTATGGATGAACATATATCTCTGTTGTATGTATAGAGCCTTTGGGTTATATGCCCAAGTCTGGTATGGCCACATCATATGGTAGATTGATTTCCAGGTTTTTTTGAGGAAACTCCACCCTGATTTCTATTTTGATTGCACCAGGTACATTCCCCCCAAGGGTGGATAACTGTCACCCTTTCCCAACATTCAGTTGTTTGGTTTTTTAATGTTAGCTATGGTGAATGGGGTGATAAGAAATCTCAAAATGGCCAGGCATGGTGATGCACACCTTTAATTCCAGCTCTCAGGAGGCAGAAGCAGGCATGGATCTCTGTGAGATCGAGGCCAGCCCAGTCTACATAGTGAGTTCCAGGTCAGTTTCAGGGAGATCCTGTCTCAAAAAGACCAAAAGAAGAAATCTCAAAATGGTTTTAATTTGGATTTCCCTTATGACTACTGATGCTAAACATTTTAAAAGAAGTTCTTAGACATTTGTATTTCATCCTCATTGAACTCCCTGTTCAGCTCCTTGCCCCATTTTAAATTGGGTTGTATGTGTTTTGATGTTTACTATTTTGAGTTCATTGTATATTGTAGATAATAAACCTCAGTTACCTCCAGAAGTTGAAGACAAGACCCTGTTGCTGTGGACACTGCACACAAGAGCTATAGAAGAAAAAGGAGAAATCAAGCTGGTACTGACTGCAAAGATTCACCTCTACTGGCTAGTCATCATAGTGATGGAAAATTGCACCCATAAAAGTGCAGGAAGATAGTATTCCTATATTCTGAAAAGACATTGTTTGCAGACAAGAAATTTTCAAGTAATTAATAAAAACATTATACTAAAAAAACCTGATAATACATTGAATCATCTAATATAGGTACTCAGAAGTGGAACATGAGATAAAACATGCAGTTTCAACATATTTTAGTGGTAACATTTTAAAATATATCTAGAAAAATTCCAAAAATCCTTACGGGAATGATACATGAAGTGATGTAGAGTGAAAAACTTTCCCAGGTGTGAACG